GACTCCCACTTTAAATCACTGGGAGCCGACTGGAGCTAAATGAGAAGCAGCATTGAGCCTCGGTGAGATGTTCAGGGAACAGTGTGGGAGTCCTGCAACGACAAAAACAAACAAAACAAACAAACAATACGATGGTGGAAACCTTCCAGTCGATTTAAATACAGTAAATCTGAGTCATGTTACAGCTGAACATTGTAAAAGAACAGACTTTTGATGCAGACGTTATTTACAGTTTAGACTTTTTTTGTTTTTACAACTAATATGTAGATTATTACCTTGTTCTGTGCTTTAATTAGATATTATATATGATTTAAAAAAACAGTGAAAATCTGTAGAAGAATAGTTTAAAAATGCTTTTTAATCCTTAATATACATAATTTATCTGAAAAGTTGTTTTTTTGCTGATTTAAATACAATTTAAAAAAACTACTTTTACATTCAAATGTTGTAAAAGAATAAATTATTACTTTAAAAATTACAAAATACAAAAAAAATTATTAAAAATACTAATTTTTGATGTGGAACTTGTGAGAATTATTTCTAGTTTTGCCTGTTTTTTCACCATTTAAAGTCATCCTGGTTTCAGTGACTTTACTCGTTATTATATGTAATTTAACAAAACAGGAAAAATCTGTTAAATGATAGTAAATTGTTCAGTAAATGACATTTAGTTCTGACAGTGCAGTGTGCACAGTGGGGCTGCAGGGAAGCGTTATTTTTGCTGTTAATTAGTTTGTCAGTGATTTACTCAATTAATGAATTACTTGTTTGATCTATAAATCAATCTGTACTAACAATAGAAACCGACAGAAACAGAATTTATTGTTTGTTGTTAACAACAACAATAACCGCGTCAGACACACAAAGGAAAGCGAGATATCATCGTTTTTATTTCACGCTTTCATCCACTGTGTCAAATCTTGGCTCACATATTTACCCACAATGCAACATGACCTCCAGGACCTGGGCATGTTTTACTCTTTACAGCTGCTGTAGCCTCAAGCAGAGATGAGGAACGAGATTCAGAGACATTCTCTCATTTTTCCTTTTTTCCTTTTTATTCTCAGTGATAATTAAAGAAGTCGGTTTATTACAGATACTTGTTTTCTAGATATTTTCATCTCAGGTTGTTGTCTGGCCTTCAAACAGGGTTTTGTCCAATGAGAGTTCAGCACAGAGGAAGTCGGGTCATGATAAACATTCTGTTACCGTTCTGCTGCGTCACAGATCTGATCTGCTCTGTCAGTAACGAGGATTCCTGTAACTTTAATCCAGTTTTAAAGCTTCACTGTGGAGTTTTTTTGTTGCTTCTGTGACTCCTGTTTTGTCTCTTGCATACAAACATGTTTGCACCCAAGAAGAAGGATGCACGTTGCTGCCTGTGGTTCCATTAAGCTGCAGGTTATGCAGCAAAGTGCAAAAGAAAGAAGACGTCCCTGTTAGTCAGAATAAATACAGTGATGGAAGACATACTGAGATCTTTTACTTAAAGGTCCAGGTTAAAAGATTTAATGGAATATAATGCCCATAATTAGGATGTTATTCGTGTTATAATCACCTGGAAGTAGGAAGTGTCTCTGTTACCTTAGACTGAGCCGTTACAGCTGCAGAGGAAGGGAATCCTCCTCCACAGAGTCCAACATGTTTCTACAAGTTACAGCCAAAAAAATGAAGTCTTGTACATTTTTCCTGAACATTTTTCCTCAACGTTGATGGAAAATGTCATGAAGTCAGAGAAAGACATGAAGGAGGATTGATGAGGACGCCACAGTGTGAAGAAAGCTAGACTGTTGTTGAAGTGACGGTTCATCACTGTAAAAGGACTTATGGAGCGACTTTATCTCTTTTCCTTTCATAGAGGACGGAGCAGTTTAACTTATGCTAAGAGAGATAACAAAATCAGCACTTTTTCTCAGCATGTAGAGAATGTGACCAGCTTTAATCTGCCGCTGAGATACTTCAGGAATCATCACATCTTCTGTTTGTTTTTGTCAATGTGAGCTCAAAGATTGGACTTTTCATGAAAACTTCAGCTTTGTTCATATTTCAACCCACCCATAATGAGAGATTATTTTATTTACTTTTCCAATATTTCAGTTTTTGAATCAATGACATCAGGAGAAATAAAAATAAAGGCTTTTATCTTTACTAGTTGCTGAGATGTTGTCGTTCAAATAGCCTCAGATTTCAGTCCAAACCTGCTGAAAGTGGATCGACGAGCAATTTTTAAAAAATAATTAAATGTTACTGTGGAAAGTATTTGATGTATCGGCTAAAATCTAAGAGATATGACTTTAAATACTCTTAGTTTATTCTCTAAAAGTTTAAAGCAAATCAGGGATAGTCAAGCAGAAGGCCTCTGATAATTTCAGATGTAAAAGCGTTCATGTGAGAGTTAAACTTGACAAAATCTTAATCTGATAAGTAGCTAGAAGGTTAAAAAAAATCAAATAAATGTAGTAAAATGAAGAGTAAAGTATCATATAATAGAAATACTCATGTGTAATACCTCCAAATCACACCCAGATGCAGTACATGAGTGAACTTAATCCACCACAGGGATGCAAACCTGCGGGATTGAAATGCTCTCCTCCTCAGATTACACATTTTTTCTTCAGTTTTGCTGAACGTGACTCATTATGGCAGCAGATTGTGTACAAACGTTTGTCTCTGATGAATGAGATCTTTGTGTGGAGCCGAGCGGCTGCCTGACTCAGATTCCTGCCTCAGTAATGGACGCTGCAGGACATCAGTGAGTCCACTTGTGTGCAGAAGAGAAGCTGACGTGGAGAAAACAGACGTGTGGGTGAGGACTCTGTAGGTTTTGTTTGTCGGCCGACGTGGAGCTGCAGTTTGACAGAAGCTGCAAACAGTGAAAAAAAAACACCCAAAAAAGAAAACAGATGGGTTATGTGGTTTCAAATCATCCGGGGTTTCTGCTCAGACGTCTCTGATTTGCTTGAAGCTTTTTTATCATAAACTGTTGATATTTAAAATGCAATCTGTGAGATTTTAGATTGATTTACTAAATGCTTTTTGAGATGCATCTTTTAAAAACTGCCCGTTGATCCACGTTCAGCAGGTTTATTGTGAACGTTGACATTTGAGGCTGTTTGACCGACAGTTTCTGAGGAACTATTAAAGATAAAAACCTGGAATTTTCACTGATATTTCTCATCATGTCGTCAATTCAGAATAAAATCAGACAAATAAATCAAATCGTGTGAAAAGAAATAAATGAAGCCGTCTTGAAAAGTCCCGTCGCTGAACAGAAAATAACAATAAAATGATCCAAAAGTCAACTAATGATGTTTTCTGACCCAATGTGTAGCTGCACGTCACAATATCGCAAAATGCTGTCGTTTCCTGTAACAAAATGGATTTTAAATGTGCAGCCAACGGCAGGTTTACGCCGTCAGTCCACATCCAGGAAGTCACACTGGTTCTGCTGTGTTGCTTCTTTAATGTTGTGGCTCTCTGCCTCAGTTGTAGAAATTCAGAGAAACGATGAGTTACACGAATCATTTATCTGTTTTTAGTTTGACTTGAAGTAAACGCAGGAGTTAGCCAGCTGGAGCTGACATTTTGCTGAACTTGGCGTCGCCGTTTGTTTACGTAGCAAACAAGACGTCCAACGCACAAAACTGACAGGTCAGCATTTTAGTAAACACGATATTTCATGAACATCTTGAGGGAATTTCTTTGAATTCCTCGCAGACTTTCTCTTGGATTTAAACATAACTGGTCAGATTTTGGCCACGACTTAAGAAATCAGACAAAATCAGAATCAGAAAATCAACTTTATTGGAAACATTTGTACACGCAAACAAGGAGTTTGACTCCAGTGAATCTCAGCTCTGTGTGTACAAGAAAAAAAACTAAGTGCTAAAAACAAGAATATAATAAATTAGAATTAGAATAAAACTTTATTGATCCCTTCGGTACAAGACCTCAGGGAAATTGCTAGAATATAGAAATAAGGTACAATTTGAGAAGTGAAGAAATTAACTAGAACAATAACAACAACAACATAAACACCCAGAGAGCAAAGTACCGAGGCGGCCATCTTGTTACGACTTATTAATGTCAGATTTCACACAAATCTTAAAATGATGAAGAAATGATGAGATTTAATATTGAAAAGGTCGAAAGTCAGAACCAGAAGCAGAGACTGGGAGCATATTTCACATTTTAACAGATACTGACGCTGATCCTGAGCGTTTACTTTATTTTTTTTAACTTTATTTTATTTGAGGGTGCCTTTATTGTCACAACTTTGTATTCTATCAAAACTGGCTTTTTTTGGTTTGTTTCTCTCAATAAACTTAGAACCTTCGAAGTCGTCAGTAAACAGAATAAATTAATCTGGGGCTGCAGTTCCACTGTAGCAGAGCCATGTAGCCTCTGTGTGGTCGTCCTGTGTAGTCGTTCGGTTGGTTTCTGTGGAGCTGAAACACCATCTGTGTTCGTTCTCAGTCTGACAGGACTTGTGTGTAATGTTCCACAGGTTCATCTGTCATTGCGTTTTCGCTGCAGAGTTTCCAGAAAACGAACCTCTCGTGTAAACAAAGCGACGTGCAGGTGATTGGAGCAGCTGGTATCTGTCCTCTGATGCGTTCGGCTCCACGTCTCTTCCAGATGGCAGATTGAACTAAACACAAACGTCATAAAATGATCAATGTGTTTGCTGTAAACCTGCTAGTTCGTCCTGCTTTTTGTTCTGATATCATATATTAAAGTGCATCCAGCCTTCTTACGCCATTCTTTTGCATTCTGAGTCACTGATAAATAAACTTTTGCTGCTTATTCTGCTCCTTCTGCATATTTGAAGCTTCAATAGAACATTAAAAATGATCTTGTGCTGTTTCTCTCTGTGTTGAGATCTGAAGGAAGTCTGACCGTGATAACAGGAAGTCATGTGCTTTAGTTGAATTAAAGTTTCCACGTGAGACCGGCTGCTGGTAACAAGTTAATAAATGTTTTTTTCTCTATGTCTGCAGTCTCTTGTGAAGCCGCCACCATTCCGTGCTGTAAGGCCGACCCCAAAATGTCTTCCAACGGAGACCTCAGCGACCTGGGGAGCTCGGACAGCTTCTGGGAGGTACGACAGCAAAAGCATTCATCGTTTCTCTCCGCAAAGCATGACTTGAAACAGCAAAAATGAGTTGGAGGTGAAGCTCAGGAAACTTCAAGAAAGACTCAAAGAGGATGTTATCGAGAGCTTCCTTTATTGTATTAAAAAGATCTGAGTCAGTCCCAGCAGAGAGAAGCAGCTGGTGGTTTTAATACTAACATAAGTTTTTATACTGTTGGTCGTGTCTCACTCATTTGCAGGTTGTAACGAGCATCATCCAACTATGATTATTGATTTTTTTTTTATTGAAGTTTTATTTTTAGGGTAGCAATCTGTGAGGTTTGTAAAAGTTAAGGGATTAATTCAGAAAAGCTACAAAACTTACTTTAACTCCACGAAACCCCAAAACCAGCCTGCAGGTTTTGGGGTGTTTTCTTTTTTTTAAAAAAATCTAGAAAATTACACCTTTTATCTGAGTCAGAAACTGTAAAAACAGAAATATTTGTTAGATTTTCTGCTTTCCAACAGTCCTTGAACTAATCATGTGTGACCTGGAGTCCCATCAGGAAAATTAACCAAATTTAAGCTTAAAATTGGGATATTTTGTCAGCATCACTTTAAAAATTCTGGAAAAATTAATCTTTTTTTTAAGCTTAGATTCTGTAAAAACCAAAGAACACAGGTTTCCTGCTGCAACCGTGAAGCTATAAGTGACTCTGCTGAGACAAACAGTCACGTGACAACAATTCAGGGACTTTTCGACTGAACTGCAGGCTGTGTTTACACAAAGCAAACTAATTTGAGATGTAAATAGTACAATATCTCCAGTACGTAGGGTCACCGTGTTTTATTCCAGTGTTGGTCATACCTGTGGACACTCAGAAAGTTATTTTTTATTTTTTTGTAAAATACATATTCTCAGATAAGAGAGTGAAAATGTGATGGGAACAGAAACTTCTTGGAGTGGAGAGGGTTAACTAAGGTTGACTTTATTGTCTGACTCCTATATTAGACTGCATTCATTTAATGGAGGTGAAGCAGTTTTTTGTATTTAGTGCTGATTTATTCTGGGTTCAGGTTCCTGCTGATGAGTGTGTGAGAGCAGCTGAGAGGATCAGGAGGTTAGAAAGCAGTCAGATAGAGGCCAGTGTTGGTCTGCAGTGTTTACAGAGACAAAGACACATAATGAATCCCTGCTGACTGACCGTCGGCTTCACAGCCTCCATCTGGATAAATTATACTCTTCTGCCTCTCCCGGCTCTCTGACCTGTCTGTCCTCTTTCATCCTTTATGTATTTATATTATCACCTTTCCACCAAAAATGCTCACTCAGCTATTGCCATTCTAGTGTGGTAAGAGAAACTGATGCTGTACAAATGATTAAACTCTCTGAGCTCCGAGCAGTTTCTGAATGTTTTTTACTCACTGTGGGCTCATTTTTTACAGCAATGCAAATTCTTTCACCTCGATGGAAACAGAGCAACCGGGACTAGAAGAACAGAGCACTCAGAAATGTCATTTGTTTTTTTATTTTATGAAAAGAAAAGACAATAAAAATGGAGTCAATATGTGCAACATTTTTCCAAGTGGCTGCAGGTGTATTGGAGAAGAAAAACAAACTCCATATGTTACAGATAGTTTACTGCTTACGATGCCAATGATCAAGCATTCATCAAAGAGCATCTAGTTAGCAAAAAAATAAAAAAATTTTAAGCTTCGCCCCCTTTTTTGATATCATTACAAAACAAACAACTTCATGATGCAAATTTTTTTTCCCCAAAAGCAGTGTTTCCATATCAGTGATGTTTCACTGTGCTGAGTGTATCGTCCAACAGCTTGCTCCTCTCTGTTTAACCCATTCTACGTTTATTTTATTGAACTATGTTGTATTTTCCTCTCAGTCTCTTGTCGTCTCCTCTCTGCTTTGTGGAAACACTGCCTGCAGTTCACCTGAGAAGCCTTTTTACCTGCATCGTGGTCAGAGTCAAGTCAATCCTGTTTTTTTTTTACAGGATTGAATCATCATGAAATATCAAAATTTGAAGCTTAAATCTGATTATTTTTCTTACATTACATGTTATATCTTGATTTATAATGGTCTAATTTTGGAGAGATGTTTATTTTTTTAAGGATTAGTGGCTTTTAAACCAACCAGCAGGGTTTTGTGGTTCAGAGGTTTCCGTTTCCTCACTCGTTGTGTGTCTGTTTGTGCGTCTCTGCAGCCGGGGAACTACAAAAGGACGGTGAAGCGGATCGACGACGGCCACCGGCTGTGCAACGAGCTGGTCAGCTGCTTCCAGGAGCGGGCGAAGATCGAGAAGAGCTACGCTTTACAGCTGAGCGACTGGGCCAAGAGGTGGAGGGGCGTCGTGGAGAAAGGTCTGTTTAAATCACGTCACGTTGGAGAGCCTCATTTAACGGAACAGAAAACATCTTTACTGTCATTGATATAGAAAAACAAAGGGCAGTGGAACAAAAACTAGCAGCATCAATAAAAGAACTGAAAGGCTTCAAGACAGTATGATCAAACTGGAGATGTAATAAACAAGCAGAATGATTTTATTGAACACATTACTAATATGCTGTCTTATGTGTTTTTGATCTCTCTAATAGGGATGCCACACAATTATTATAATATTGTCTACAAAGCGTCAATAAATTTAGAAAAATGCCTCTTTAAGTGTTCTAGACAGTCCAAAACGCAGAGATCCTCAGTTTATGGACAAAAATGACCAAAAAAAAAAACGTAAACTCTCACATTTGAGAAGCTATAATTTGCAAATGTTTGGTGTTTTTGCCTAAAGTTTAATGAGAGGATTATTCCGTTTGCAAAAATAATTGAAGATTTAATTACTCTAGATGATTTAATTTATTTCAATTAAATGATCAATAATTCACGTTATTTAATCTAACAGCAAAGCGTTTCATTTTTATTAATAAAAATCATTTGAAGAGAATCTTTGCAGCACTGATTTGTAATGTGTTTAAAGTTATATACAACCAGTGGTGATTTGTTCGTCTTGTCTGTTTTAATCCGACCTGGATGGTTGAATCTGTCTCAGGGCCTCAGTACGGGACTCTGGAGAAAGCCTGGCACGCCTTCATGCAGGCGGCCGACCGGCTCAGCGAGCTGCATCTGGAGCTCCGTGAGCGTCTGGCGGGCGAAGACAGCGAGAAGGTTCGCGGCTGGCAGAAAGACGCCTTCCACAAGCAGATGATGGGAGGATTCAGGGAGACCAAAGACGCCGACGACGGCTTCCGCAAAGCTCAGAAACCCTGGGTCCGAAAACTGAAAGAGGTGGGTGGACTCTGACGGCCAGATTTGACCAAAAATGTTCCTTATTTGAAACCTTGTGCTGTCAATGTTCACAGCATGTTGGAGGAGAAAAGAGATGGAAACGTTCTCTCATGATTACAACCAGTGCTGCTAATAATTTGTGTAATTTGTGCGTTAAAAATGGCTGCATGGCGCTGAGCTCAGTTGGTACAAAAAACCTTTAACCACCTGCAGACAGACGAGCTGTTCAGCTTCACCACATTGAACCCAACACTTCAGTGAAGGCACTAATAAACCCAGTAAGAGGTGTAATGTGATGAATATTTCATTACATTTTCAGGTTAAATCCTGGCTGAGAAGCATTACAAAGCCTGATAAACACAAACCAAATACCATTTTCAATATTTTGATGAAACTGTCAATCACACACTAAAGGCGACGCCCACCAGGAACTGTTTACCATATTTGGAAACTTTGCTTTTACGTGACAACACAAGAAACAACATCTGAATCAAAACCAATAAAAAAAGTAGAATTTGGTTTGATTAAAGAATAATTAAGACTAATATTTGATCAATAAAACAAAAAATAATTGCTGCGTTTTGATATTAAAGCTTGCTGCTAATGCAACACAACAGTAAAACCAAACGGAGCAAGATGAAGTTAAAACTATGCAAAAATGTAAAATGTAAAATGCCAGTTTAAGGAAATAAAAATAATGAAACCCTTCGTAAGCAATGAGAAGATGACGTCACTTTAATTTAAGTTTATAAAAATGGATTTTAAGAAGTGATTTGAAAGAAGTCGGCCATTTTGAAAGCCTTATCTCCTGCAACAAGTCGATTTAAGTCAAGCTGCACTGCTGGATATTGCACATTGCTGAACATATGCAAAAAAAGTAATGACTTAAAGTAGTGAGGTTGTATGTACAAGCATGTAAACGTGTAGATTCAGTTTATAAATACAAGATGCATAAAGAAAAGAAGGTGCAAGGTGTCGATGTTTCCAGATTCTGTGAGTAAATTAACATTGAGTAGATTAAATTTAATTGCTAGTTGGCACTCAGGTCCGTTTAAAATGAGTTACACCTGAATGTGATGAATACTTTCATTATTGTGAGACAACAATGGGATTAGTCAGAACTTCCAAAGTTAATTATGTGAGACGTAACACTGACGAATGTTTATTTGTGAGTCACGTTTGTAATATTAGACGATTACATCAAATGTTTTCTGATGTGGTTCAAGCTGCATTCATGACATATCAGAGTGTGTATCTGTGTGTGTGTGTGTGAAGGTGGAGTCCAGCAAGAAGAGCTACCATCAGACCAGGAAGGAGGAGTGGACGGCGGTTACCAGGGAAACGCACGCCAAGGCCGACCCGTCCAAGTCGCAGGAAGAAGTTCGCAAATACACGAACCGGGCGGAGCGCTGCAACCAGGAGGCCGAGAAAGTACGAAACACACACAAACATGACAACACACACTATAGTTACCAGTCTGGGTGTGTCGCTGAGTCCAGAGAAAACACACCTGTATGTGTGTGTGTGTGTGTTTTTACCTGAAACATGACCGGACTTGTTCTGCACAAACCCAACAGCAGAGAAACAACAGCTGGAGGTTCTGAGGCAGGAAATGACTGAACAGACTCAGAATCAGTTTAGTACACGGATCCCAACAAGGACATGAAACCTTATTTCCAAAATGTAAATAAAAAACTAATCTGCAGATTTCTATCAGCCTAAACTCTCTGCAGGTGTGTCTGCCGTGTTCAGTTACAGAGAATTAAAACGTTGTGTCCTCCGTTAATTAAGCACTTTTGCAGCAGCTACAGGAAGCGTGTTGCACTGAGCTGCTGTCGGCTTTAACTTCATGTAACCACATTAAATATGAATGAGAGGAGAAACAGCCACACTGAGCAGGTTCAGGTATGAAAATCTGTGGACAGGTAAATATCTCTTATTATGAATCCAGTAACCATCTGTTGCCTTTTCTTCTTCAGAACATTTGAATCACTGGGTTGTGATGTTTTGTTTTGAATAAATGTTTAATATAAGGCTGCCCTCAACTAAAGATTTTGCTAGTCGACCATTAACTCAAGCCAGTCGATGCATTTGTGGTGGTAATTTAATTAAACAGATGTTGTTGTTTTTTTGAGGCATCAGAAAATGATTTGAATTCCAGCATATACGTAGAAATGCAGCTAATAATGCGGCTTTAAAAGAGCTGATGATGATGAATGTATTGAAAAAAGCAGCAAGGAGATGGAAGATTTCGTTTTTAAGCCTCGTCATGGTAATGTCGCTGATGAAGTACCGCCAGCGAGCACCTCAACCTCAACAGACTATCACAGAAACTAGGGATGTGCTGCTCAAGTTTCGGGATTTTTGGGGGGTTTTTCCGGACCCCAAGTCATTTATTATTTCATATTTAAAAGAGCTGTGACCAGAAGGCATTAAGCATCACAGATGACCGTCTCATGGTGGCCTGTTGCTGGATAAAGTCTCATAACGCCCTCTGGTGGTCAACATTAAACCACTGAGTGACTACAGCATTAAACAGTGAGAGGCTCCACCTGGTGGTGCGACCAGGTACTACAGCTAAACTATAATGCATTTTCTGACATGCCGCCATGCCTTTTTTCTTGCATATTATTGGTTAATATACTTTATTAATTGATTATTCATTAACACCCCTAATTCACAGCACACATCAACTGCTCTTACAGTCTATTTCTCAGTCTTTCAGTGTTCTTATGTTTGAAAATTTCCCTCCTACAAGTCGACACGGACCCATATTTACCCTTAGTCATTGTTCTGAATGTGAGCTGATGAAGGCTTAAGCAGTGTTTTGTGTTTTGTGTTTGCGTTCCAGGCGAAGGAGCGCTACAAAAAGGCCTTGGAGGAGCTGAACCGCTGCAACCCTCGATACATGGAGGACATGGAGCAGGTGTTCGACCTCACGCAGGAGGCCGAGCGCAAGAGGCTGCGCTTCTTCAAAGACGTCCTGCTGGACATCCACACACACCTGGACCTGTCGGCCAAGGACAGGTAGGACAACAGGCGCACACACACACACACACACACACACACACACTGAGCGAAGTGGGCGTTTAGATGATTCATGATCCTTGACTCAGAGCGAAGGCATGCAGAGATCTGTCATGGCTCGATACGTGTGTGTGTGTGTGTGTGTGTGTGTGTATTCAGGAGTTAATAGAAAACTCAAGCTGTTGTCGATTAACCACTGACCTCTGATTTTATTTAAACAAGCTACTGTTGCCATGGGAGCCACCATCGGTAGATCTGTGTCCAAATATTGACCACATTTACCGTCAAGTGGTTCTTTTGAAGAGCAACTTAACAAACATGCAGTGGAGATATTTTAGCTTCAATCTACTGAAGGTATTTTATGTTCTGTCATTGTTTTGCTGCTTGAACTTCTGCTTCAGTGGCAGGCGCTCTCGTCTCTAAAGTCACAGTTAGATGGCTCAGAGAGGTGAGTCTGAGTGTGTCCAGGTTCCTCAGCCAGCTAATAACAGACCACCTGCTGCCCTCCTACAGCCACTTCACCCCAAACTTACAGTCCAGACTCTCATCAAGTCTGTCATTTACCTGCAGTTCAATACCACCAGAGCCTTTAAAACGAATCCTCACCTCCGTGTGGTTTAGAGGCTGAAAGGATGTTTTATTCTTTAAATATGTTGAAATAGTTTCATTTTACTAATTGTTAGACGAGTTCAGAAAAACTAGTCTTTATGCAAATTTGCACAGTGTCACTGTTTTCCTGACAATAATTCTGGTTTTTGATTTGGACAAGCATCACATTAGATTCTGTGTCAGAAGTTCAGGATTAAAAAACGATGGAAATACAAACAGTAGATATCTTTTAAAGTTTTGTGATGAGGAAATGTGCTATTTATTAAACTTTTAATGAACCTCTGAGCTACACTGAGGTACAGGACTCATTTACAAAGTTACAAATAAATGGAGATTTAGGCTTAGAAATAAGAGACTTGAATGAAAATATGTTTACATTTGTAGGCACGAAGCTGATGTTTTCTTCCGATTTCTAGATGATGCAGCATCCCTCCTTAATGGGTTTGATGTTGCTAGATTGCAGACTTTCTCCCTCATGCAATTATAAAAAGATATTTCTGTTTGGGGTGGAGGGAGAGGATTATTTTATAGTTGATTGTATATGTTTTGCTTTGTCAATGCAATTTGTAAACTGTTAAAATTCAATAAATATATGTTTAAAAAAAAAAAAAAAGATATTTCTGCTGTCAGCGTTTTAAGGTGACATAAAATAGCAGTTTCAGGTTACAAAATATCTTTTTTTTTTTTTTTACCTCCTATAAAGGCAAATTTGAAAAATCTGCAAGTTTTATCATATAAAATGATAAAAGGTCTGAACAGCGAAGACTGTTCTGAATAAATCAGGCTGCAGAATGTATGACTCGTGTTTATAAAGACCAAGAACAGAGTTTATAAGTTAAAGGGAGTGAAATTCTCCAGCCGGGATCACAGCCTGTGTTTGGTGAGTTTTTACCTCATCTGCAGTAAAATTTACAACTGAAATGACCTCCTGTTTTATCTGTTGCTTTTATTGTTGCAGTTTAAACCCTGTCAGAGCATCAACCTGCTATTTTAAAGTTTTCTCTTCTTTTCTTGCTTTTTATCAGCTTTCAGTTTGACAACAGAAGAAAACAGAAAACTTATGAATTTAGCAGCGATCACTGAGAAACTCTACTCCACCTCCCTGTGTATGATTAATCCTGAACGTGGCTTTAAACGTGCGCTCGGACAATATTTAACTATTTAACTTAGTTTTAAAATGTTTGCTGAGTACATAATGTGCGTCTCTGTTAAATTCAGTGTTAAATGAAAACCGTTCCTTCGGGCTGCAGCTCCTGGAAGCTGGATGTCGATGAACAGATGCAGCGTTTTCCTTCGTTTCCTCTGAGTGTGAACGAACTGACACAGCGCTGATAAAACCCGACCAGAAAATACGCAACCTACAGTAGTCTTATCTGGAATTCCAACTTTAAACTGAGGTTTCAGGATTTTAAAGGCCAAACCCTCAGAGCAAACAGGTGCGATCAGGAACCTGCTGCAGGAAAACAGAAGGAGCCTCACATACGACCAACTCCACATGAGAGGGTTATTTTTATTTTAATAAAGGTGTAAAGTTTTGTCTTCTAGTTCTCTTTGAAGATGCTTTAGATGTATTTTTATGACTGTGTCTAATGCTAAAGAGGTCACTGGTTTTCAGCATCTTTCAGGTCATTGTTTTTATTTTCTGCATCACAACTTTTAGTGGAGTCTCCATGTTCTCCCCGTGCAGCGTGGGTTCTCTCCGGGTTCTCCAGCTTCCTCCCACAGTCCACAAACATGTTGAGGTTAATTGGTGATTCTAAATTGTCCGTAGGTGTGAATGTGAGTGTGCTTGGTTGTCTGTCTCTAAGTGTAGCCCTGTGATAGACTGGTTACCTGTCCAGGGTGTCCCCTGCCTTCACCCTGAGTCAGCTGGGATAGACTCCAGCCCCCCACGACCCTAGTGAGGATTAAGCAGTGTATAGATAATGGATGGACAACTTTCATTGCTTTTGTTCAGTCTCTCATCCGTGTTGTTTCCAAACAGCTGTTTCCTGTAAATGACCTGCACAGCAATAAACACCAAACTGACACGGTTACTATGTGGCTGGTGAACACATTTAGCAGCTAAAGAGCCAGAAAAACAACTCAAAGAAAGTAAATATTGGAGCTAAATTCATCCGGTTGGACACAAATACAACTTCACATCAATGCTAATGTTGCTCTCTGGGTCTAATATGTAAACAAACACTTGTTTATCTGCCTTTATAGGGTGATAACATGTCAGCTTGTGTTGCAGCTGTAGTTTAAGATGTTCCCTAAACACCTCACATGCGGCCACAGTGGAGGGTCGCTCACCGGATGTGCACAGAGAAGCTTCTAGTCTCCATCACTTCCTGCAGCTCAGACTGTGTGAACAAAAAATTATTGAAGCCAAACTTGTGATTATTTTTTAATGAATTCCACAAGAAAGATGAAAGACAGACGATCATGGACACAAACTCAGACCAAAGATCCGATCCAGAGCGTGTTAGACGTGATGACTGACGGCGTGTTTGTCCTCCAGCTTCACAGATCTGTACAGAGATCTGGGTCAAACCATCCGAGCAGCCAACGACAGCGAGGACCTGCGATGGTGGAGGAACACCCACGGACCGGGCATGAGCATGAACTGGCCCCAGTTCGAAGTGAGGAAACACACAACACTCGCTGTATTTCAGTTCACACATCACTGCATTCATTCATTGTTTTTCTTGGAGCATCTCGATGCAGCCGGGGCGTGTCGGCGTGAGTTGCTCATGTTGTGGGGACGTTAATCTGTTTGCAGCCACTTTGAGGGGAATCGACTTCCTCCTGGAAACAAAGAGCGACTCCTCATAATGTAAATCATCACAGCTGAGCTCCAAGGTTTGGTTTGAGGTTTGGAAAACTAGTAGCTGCGAGTCCGTAAATCTCCAGGAAATGAATGTGAGTCGGTGCAGAGTCCTCACAAGGGCCAGAAACAGGGCTGGGTGTGTGTTTCAGAGCCGAATACTAAACAGGTTTCTGATGAAAGCCTTGTTTTGTGACCGAGAGCTCCGAGTGGGGTCAGGAATGTCCCACACAGACTCACACCGGTTTGTTTAGTCGACGCTGGAAATCTACAGATTTCTCGTCGGCTCTGCCCAGCGGCCACTGAGGACAAACAAATATTTACAGATTTGAAAAGCACAAACAACAGATTGTGTCTCCACAGAGCTGCTGCGTGTGAGCAGAGTCGAGTTTCATATGAATTACTGGTGAAAAGTTCCCCGGCAGCTGTGACGTAAAGAAATAAGATACGGTTCAGTTTTCTGAAAGTCAAGAACTTGAATGAACTTCTGCAAAGAACAATTATGATGAAACGCAATAATAGAAACTCTAAATAAACACAGAAGCATGTAAGAAATAAGATACTGTTCCTTTTTTGTAAGACAAGAACTAAAAAAAAACTTCTGCAAATTAAAAAAATAACAAAAAAACAAGGCAATAGTAACGGCTTTAAATGACCACAGAAGCAAAAAAGAAACTGTTCAAGACATAAAACAAATTAAAGCTTTCATATTTTATCTGTTTAATTTGTACACATATGAAAGTGTAGAAATGACAGTTTGCTATTTTAAGCGGGTAAAATTTTCTCAAGTGCAAATAAAAGAAAAAAAAGGCAAAATTAAGATTTTTTAAAATTATTTTTGTGCAAGACTTAAAAAACCTTCTGCACGACTTTACAATAAATCAACACAACGCATATAGAAAGACATTTTTTGTCTTCCTTTTTTTTTAATCATTTCCAAATGAGCTTCTGCAAAGTAAAATTTTTTACCAAAAGGCAACAATAAAGGCTTTAAATAAAAACAGAAGCATGCAAGAAATAAGATACCGTTCCTTTTTCATAAGACAAGAACTAAAAAAAAACTTTTGCAAATTAAAAAAAAAAACAAAAAAACAAGGCAACAGTAACGGCTTTAAAAGACCACAGAAGCAAAAACGAAAAAAAGAAACTGTTCAAGACATAAAACAAATTAAAGCTTTTATACTTTATCTGTTTAATTTGTGCACATATGAAAGTGTAGAAATGACAGTTTGCTATTTTAAGTGGGTAGAATTTTCTCAAGTGCAAATAAAGGAAAAAAAAGACAAAATTAAGATTTTTTTTTGTGCAAGACTTAAAAAAACCTTCTGCACGACTTTACAATAAATAAACACAACGCATATAGAAAGACATTTTTTTTGTCTTTTTTTTTTTAAACATTTCCAAATGAGCTTCCGCAAAGTACATTTTTTTTTTTACCAAAAAGGCAAAAATAAAGGCTTTAAATAAAAACAGAAGCATGTAAGAAAAAAAGAAACTGTTCAAGACATAAAACTAGTTTAAACTTTTTTAATTTCATCTCGTTGAAGTTATTTTAAACATTTTCTGTACAGTTGAGTTTAAAACACAACTGCTCTAAAATTTATAAGAAAAGTATTTTGGGGGTATTTTTGTGCGACTTTATGAGCAGAAGCAGCTGAGAGAGAGAGAAAGGGCAGAAGAAGAAAACATGAATATTACAGCTGTTGGTTTCTCCATAAAACAGCAATTTGTTGTTTTCTGCATGAATTAAACACGCATCATGTGACGTGTTAACTTGTATTTAACAGGGTATTATGTGTTATTTTTGGTCTGTTTTCTTTTAAGCTAAGCGGCTGCTGGCGTTGTATTAATACTGATGTGAGACAACTTCAGGGCAGAATCAGTCTTCTGTGTGAATCTCTGCAAAGAAAGCAAACTAGTCTCAAAATGTTAAACGGTTTATTCAAGAAGTGTCGATTTCACAGTGAAACGTCAAAACAACAGAAGTGGTTCGATCTCTGCGTTTCAGTTTAACGCTGGTTGGCCAACAATAAAACCGACGGCCTCTCCGGAGAGCGAGTTCAGAGCCGGAGCAAAAGTTGAGACTGAAAAAAATGACATTTTCAGATGGATTTGCATTTGTGTTGGCCTGGACCAGCAGGAGCTCTGGGTTCAAACCACCCAGTCAAATGTTAAGAAATGTTTTTTTGTTTGTTTTTTTTTGTCCAACCAATGAAAAAATAGAAGCATTAAAATAGCACAGCTTCTAACTTGGTCCTGGGTTGGGCACTGGGCTGCACAGATCGTCATGCAAAGGAAGTAAAAGCAAGCGAAGGTTCAAAATCAAACACTCGTGATCACAACCTGCTCTGACTCATGTGTGGTGTTGAAGAAATGATTGTTCTAAATGTGAGCTTAGTTTCAGTAAAGGTTTAGTTTATTTGTATCAGGGGATTGTGCACCTTAAATATAATCTCAAAGAAGTGAAGAAATGCCAACATCTTGTTTCAAATGTGCTTCTTCAAACCCTGTTATTCCCACCAGCCCTCCTTAAGGTAGCAGCCTGAAAGCATCCAGGTGTCGGCACAGTCGACTGAATATTTAAAGGGCCCATATTACGCTCATTTACAGTCTTAATCTTTTATTTATCGAGGATTTCTGATGGTTTTTCTCATGCTGCAGCCTCTGTCTGAAACAGTCTCTTTAAAAAGCTCAGTCTGCTCTGATTGGTCGTCTGTCTGTAGCACCAGATCTCTATGTGTAGCCGTAGCACTTTAACAGCTATTGGCTGCTAATAAAACAAAAAAAAAAAGTTAAGAAATTGCACAAGTTTGGACCCAGAACAAGGAGACTCTTGCAGGAGTTGCTACGTTCTGCATCGTTTTCATCCCTCAGTGTGAAAGTCTCTACGTAGCTCTGGACTGTGGTCGTGTTAGCGTTAGCCGCATTAGCTGTGCAACACGCCAACACCAATAGTTAGTGTTAGTTTCAATGGAAGCCGTTGACGTGAAGCGATAAACCGGTGCGCAGTGTGTGGCACAATATCACATATTTTCTTGAACATTTCCACTTTTTGTTCTCCTTTGTCTGAAAAATGGAAGAAAAACATATTCTTCAGTGCTATTTAACCGTACATTTTTGTGGTGTTGTTTTGCTTTTTTTTATGTCAACAAAAACACTTCAAGACTTCACGCAGGGCCGTTTTGTAACTTCGTCCCTCATCGTGCGAACACAGCATCAGAATTTTCCCTTCTGTTGTGGCAAAAGTAATCCACCGGGTGTTCAGTTCCTCAGATGCTGGGAGTGCATGAAGCCTGCTGTGTTCACTCTTGCAGCCAGACGTTGAACTTGCGGCTGAGACATTTTAGAGATATTTGAGCTGCTAGTCAGGAACTATGCAGATGTGTTACGCGATGACATCGATGAGTAACAGAAGAAGAAAAGCCTGGACTTCAAACGAGGTGTTTCAGGCAGGTGAGGAGTTTTTATGTCAGAGAGAATAACGTGAACAAATCAGCTGCTGTGTCACTCTGAAGGGACGAGAGAAGCCCAAAAAGCAGAAGTTTTTTTTGTTTTATTTTTGCTTCCAGGAAGTGCTCTGATCCCAGGGAGGATGATGTAAGTGGTATTGTATGTTGTGTTGCTCCACGCCCACGGACCAGTCAGGAATCATTGTGAACGCTCTATTGTCCTGTTTTCTGTCCGTGAAAAGATCTGCAGACCTGATTGTTCAGGTATAATAGAGATAGGATCCTCTGGAGTCCTGCCTCCCACCCTCCACTTCTGTGTTTCCGCAGCCACACACTGACCGTCATACCTCCAGACCTGCAGCCTTGAGTTTCAGATCAGACAAAAGAGGTGACACGTAAAGCTCTAAAGTGTAGTACTGCCTTTGCTCCTTATTATCTACGACTCGTTCTATTTTTGAAGGTTTCTTTTTTTTTATCATGTCTTCTTGTTATTGCAGTAACTTTATATTTCCCTGCCTGTTCTCTATGAGTGTAACCGGTGGAGTCTGCACTGCGTTGTGATGAACACCGATCTTTTTTGAGGCGATCTCGTATTGACACTTGACAAACTTGACAGACGAGAAAACAACCACAAAATCCTCTGTCAGTCTCAGTTCGTACTGCTACAGAAATTAAATGACAGAACAACATATCAGAACTGGGAAAGTAAACTTATAAATGAAATTATGTATATCAGTTGACACACAGAAAACAGCAGCACAGTCTCGCTTACCTCTCCCGTCGGATACATGTACAAAAGGGGAGAGGCAAGGCGGGAAAAACTCATTTATAGGGGTATGGTGTGTAACCAAAAACGAATGTGGGGTACTAAGACCCCCAAGTGAAAGGTTCCACACCAAAACCAAATGCAAGCTAGATTTTGTGGATTTCTATTAATTAAAAGTAATAATAAAAAACGGTAAAATAATATGTATATATAATACAATATGTATAACTAGTAAAACAATACATATATATTTAATATGAAACTGCTGCTACATGACTCATCCTGTTACATGAGCATGTGAAAAATCTAAACTCTTGAGTCTTGAAATGCAGAAACTGGACCCCAGGTAGCTGTTAGTAGAGTTCACAGCTCAAACGGATGAGCTTCGGCACAGACGGTTTTGGCCACGCAGCTGAAAAACGGTTTAGTCTGAGAGCTAATTGTCTAAACTGTGAACCTGACATCTGCTGCACGACTTTCCATCCATTCCACCTCAGTCCTTTCATTTCTTTTCCCGTTAACGGTTGTCTTTAGGATCCTGATCTGAATTGAAGACGACATGACTGTAAAGCCTGTTTAAGGAAAGTTTGTGATTTGCAATTTAAATTTAAGATGAATCAGCTGCAATAAAAAAACCCAAAACATCAGATTCATGTGCACAAAAATGCAGATGGAGACACGTGATGACCCGCGATTCTTCATGCAAATATTCAGCTGTTATTTTATCTTTTACCAACTGGTGTGAATACCAGAGGAGCAGACTGGATTCCTCTGGTATCCCTGACAGCAGACTAAATATTACCACGTCTCTGTCTGCTCCGGTGGAATCTCTAACTTTGATGCAACACCTTGAAAAATGTGAACATTAGAAACCACAGGGACAAAGATGCCACAAGGTTTAAAATTTTAGGTTTTTACTAAAAGACTTCTTGAGGTTGTCACACACTCAGAAGGCAATAAAATGCAAATAAAACACCCAGAGAGCAGTGCAATGTTATGTATTCAGTGGTGTTTGCACCTTTTTGCTGCTCCAAACCAACGTCTGCATGTTGGGTTCACTTGTGTTCTTCAAATATTTGTGGTCTTTCGCCTCAAATCTGAAATATTTCCAAACAGCATTCCTGCTTTCTGTCCACCAAAAATCAGTCATGAAGGCTCTTTATTTGCCATCTTAAAAAAAAAAGTTAAAACTACAACAAAACTCTGTTAAATTGGAAATAAAACAAGCAACAAGAAGAAAACAGCTGGAAATGAGAACTGAAGCTAATTCAGATATTCAGAATCTGTAGAAAAATGCACATTTTTAATACAAATACAAAAAAACTATGACTCAGAACTACATTAAATAACAACATCCTTTGGTGGATTTAATGCTTCGTTCTTGTTTTAAACTACATTGCTTTATATGTTGACTCTCTAGGCTCCATTTATCACCTACTATTTAGTTAAATCTGACAAGCTGACAATCGTGATGTCAGCAGGGTTTCAAGTTTAGTTCATTTATATATAGTTTTTTCTTTACAAATTTAAAGAATAGACTGTAAGAATTTTATTAAAAAAGAAGCTAAAAATCACTAAAACTGGCTTGAGAAGATACCTCTACCATGTGAATATCTATAATCAAAAGATGAAAACAGTTGATCAGAGCTCCAAGCATCGGCTGTAAAGCAAAAATGAATAAAAATGTACAATTTACATAGAAATGTATGTTTACAAGTCGAGATGCCTTCAGTTAAATCCATAAAACACCAAAAATCTGAGCTAATTGGAATCTTTTTTTGGATCAATGGATGTATTTGTAGATGAGAACGATGAGCTGGTCGCCTGCATGTCAGTCAGTATTGATTACGGGAAGTCCAGCAGTATAGAAGTCCTTCAGTATGATGGATCTCTTTCAGCTGCTGTTTAAATCTGTATTTCTGCTCCTCCAGGCGGCTGCATTATAAACACTGATCCATGTATCAACAGTGTTTGTGCAGAAGGATGCTTTAATCTCTGCTTTCAGGAATTTCTAAGCTGATTTGTGAAACATGTTTCTGAAGGAGTCGGTCAGACACACGACTGTGCTGCAAATCCCAAATAAACTGTATGCAAACGTTTAGTAAAGATCTTATGAGGAAATATCTTCTCCTGTTAAAATAGATTTGATATTATCGCAGCTGGTAGCCCTGTGATAGACTGGCGACCTGTCCAGGGTGTCCCCTACCTTCACCCTGAGTCAGCTGGGATAGACTCCAGCCCCCCATGACCCTAATGAGGATTAAGCGGTGTATAGATAACGGATGGATTATCGTTGCTGGTTTACTATATTTTCATTGATTACATGTTTATGCAGCAGCTTACAGTTGTGAGCTCCTACAAGAGGAATTAAATGGATCAATAAACATCATTTATTTAGATTATAATAAAACAGTGGAGGGAAGTACATTTGCTGAAGTATTGTTCTTCCATCCACGTCCAAAATACAACGCATAGTTACAGATTAAACCTTTTTGGACTATTCTAAAATTCAGTATTTGATCAACGTCATATTTTAGATGTTCATGAGTTGTTCAAACCTCTTTTTCCTTTAAAGTGCTCTGATTTTTCATTTCAATAAAATAATATTAATATCTCAGCAAAAATTAAAGATGAGAGAAAAATTAGAAACAGATTTTTGTATCATAACTCTATTTTTTCACTGCTTCTGTATCTAAATTAGCTAAAAATATAATCATTTTACAAATATCTGCTGTTTTTTTTTTAAATCACTTTTTTAGCTGTTAAAAGCTCCAACAAATAGTATTTTTTTCTCTTTAAACTGTCAATAAAATGATCCAATATCTCAGCAACAGTGAAAAGTTTAAGTAGATTTATGTAACAGAACATTGTTTTTTCTTCTTTTCTCTCTCGTTAATCAGATTTCTCTTCGGTCCCTGAATATAAAAGTAGATATAAAGCAGATCAAACCTATAGAGGCTACAACAATGACCGATGCTTCTCTGTTAATAATCTCATTCTGTCCTTTATATATCATAATATATCAGTCAGAGGGACCAAACCTGGACTTCTACCTTCATGTTTTACCTACAAGTAAAGAACTTGAATCCTTGTGGTTAAAATTAACACACTGAATGTCACCAGTTTGGGCGCCAGTTAGTAATAAAAACAGCAGCTGCACTGTATAAAGTTTAACAGCGTAAAGGATCATTCAGCTGTTTGTTGCCTTAGAATTATAAAACCGCACAAACACATGATTTTTCCTTCACATTCAAAGAGTTTTTTGCACATGGAAACGTCGTAGTATTTCTCTAGCGCAGTAAACAGTGAGATAAACGCTTATTTACTGCAACTTCCTCACTTCTTTTAGAGACTCTGGCGTCTCTTCTGTCCTCTGAGGAATCTCCTGATGTTCCCACAGACACACAAACAGAGAGGCTTTGTCCCGACACACACATGCACACACACACACATGCACACACACACACACACAAACACACACAAACACACACTCACACACACACACATCCACACTTTGATTCCAGTACTTGTTAGGACTCTCTGTCAGCTACATTCATTCATAACCTAAAGAATCAGACTTTTAAAGGAGCGAGGAGGAGCAGTAATTATTGTGTAGTTATTTCTATCTCTGTGAGGACATGACCGAGCTGCAGTTAGACGCTCTGAGGCTGTAAATACGAGGACGTGTATCTCCAGACACCTGAACCCTGTTGGTATATGAAGTGTGTGTGTTTGAAGATTCATATTTTCAGAGACAGAGTGCACGTTGGTCAGATTTAACTTTCTTTCTTGCTGGTGTAAGGTTTGGTTTCGGGTGTGTTCCTGCACTCATACTAGAAATACCGTTGTGTATTTAATATGTTTGAAAAGAATTTAGTGTGTCCATGTCCAGGAAACGTCAAATGTAGAACAGGAATACTAGATAATGGTGAAGTTCTGCAGTAGCAGGATATAACCTTCTGCTAAAGCTGTTTAAATCCTGAACATCACATACAGTTGTGAACAAAACTGTAAAAATCATCTATACTGTGGCGTATAGTGTCTTCCAGTCACTCCTATAACTCTCAATATTCTTCAATAGATTCACTGAAACTCGTCTTTGTCACGATGAAACAATCAGGTGTCCTAATCAGCCGAGATTTACACACTTCATGTATTATTTTTCCATCATTTCAAAGGATGCTACACTGACTTCTTGTATGTTTTTGACTCTGAATTCTGTCAAAGACCTTCAATAAATCTCTGACAAAATCTTTTAAATCAAAAATATGCAAGAAGTCAGAGCAACATCCTCTGAAATGGTGGAAAAACGAAGCACAAAGTGTATAAATCTTTGCTGATTAGAGTCCTTCTCAGATGATTTAAAAAAATAAGAACGTATTTGTCGATCGCACTGATCAAACTTCTGAAGTTTATTAGATTCGGTGCTGAACTTTCAGAGTCTGGTTGAAGCTTCTCCTGCTCGCCTGCCTCATGAAGGAAACGTGAAAAGTAGTAAATTTGTTTTAGAATGTAGTGATGGAAGCAGCTTGTTGTGTTACAGCAGCTAACTATGTGTAATTCTGTCAATACTGTAATTTATATTTTATGTAAATGTGATGCCACTGTTTTGTTGTTGTTGTTGTTGTTGTATTAAATTCTATTTAAGCTTTAATACCTCTTAAATCAGGATTTTGTATTTATTACGTACTAACTCTGCTTCTGTCTTGTTGTTCTACTAACCCTTCGTGAGCACTGTGGGTTTCATGCAACCAAGGCAACCTTCTGATTCTGGTTCTGGTTCTGGTTCAGGAGTGGTCTCCGGAGGCGAGTCGCTCCATCAGCAGGAAGGAACGCTCCGGACGCTCCGAGGAGAACGTGGTGACTCTGACCAACATCGTCTCCTCGGGCGGAGGCGACGCCCCGCCGAGTCCCATCACCGTGGATACGGGCAGGTAGGAGGACACACACACACACATACACACACACACACACACTCACACTCAGCCGGGATTGTTTCATGTCAACAAAACACTAAACTCCAGGCAGAGATGAGGAGCTGGAATCAGAATCTGAGCTCTCATCTGTCTCATCTGGGTTTTTATCTGGATGCAGAAGTCAGAAATGTGTTCAGAGTGAGTCTGCAGGAGAGTTTTCTAGAGTTTTTCCACGTCCTCTGCACGCACACACACAAATACACACACACACACACACACACACACAAAACATGCACACAAACACGCCAACACATGTTGTGCTTAATGAAGAAGACAGTCGGCTGTGTTTGTTGTTTCTGTGAAGTTTTAGAGGAGCTCGTACCTGTGGGCTGTTTAGTCCAGACTAAACACAACACTGCAATTATGTGTGTGTGTGTGTGTGTGTGTGTGTGACAGAAATAGCAGCAGCATGTAGTGTACTCATGCTGTTGCCTTGTAGTCACCCTGAGGAGTTCACATCCTGCACACAACACGCTGTAATTAGTAGCTAGAGAGCTGTGTGTGTGTTTGTGTTTCTAAAAGTCTTCCACGCTTTACGAGGATGTAAATCTGTTTACAGAGTCGCGTTGTGGAGAACCGCTTCTGTTCTGGAGGAAATAAAAACAAGTTCTAATGATGGGAAATATTCAATATAAGGGCAAAGACTTGGAGTGAGTCAATGAGCGTGAGTCAATGTGAAGCGATGCCTCCGGAGCGACTTCAGGTTTTCGTGTCTCTGAGCCGGTTTCCAGACTCGGTGACATTCTCACACTGTCTCTTCTCGGCTGGACGTCCGTGATGACGCCAGCGGACGTTTCCAGGAGACGTGTGACGAAGCTGCAGAGTTTATTTACAACCAATGCTCAGTAACCCGGAGAGGAACGGAGAGAAGCACCCAGGGAATCTGGGAATGCTCATCTTTTTGCGTATTAACTCTATAAGCAGGTTCTGTACTTTTTTGTCTTGTTTTGTTTCGCTCATTTTCACTTACTGTGGGCTCATTTTTCTCAACAATATAAAGTCCTGCACCTGTGTGGAAACAGCACAACCATGACTGGAAGGAGAGAGAACTCAGAAATATCTTTAATGCAGTGTGATAGTCACAATGCCATCAATTATTAAGTAAAATAAAAATTCTATATTATTTAAAACCTGGAATTAACATTATTCCAGTGCCTACAGATATGACTAATACCAGAAACATAAAACATGTTTTTAATGTGTTTCCATCCTTGTCTCCTGTCTGTAAACGCTGCCTGCAGTTCAGCCGAACAGCTCCTGAATCTTTGTCATGTGACCGTTGGTTTGGTTTTTGGTTTCTCCAGAATCTGGACACGATTTATTTTTGGCTCTTTATATGATTTGGATGAAATATCCTGATTTTAATCTCAGATAAGTTTCCTGAATGAACAGGACTCTGGTGACGCTGATGAATGGTGTAACTTTGGTGATTTTAATAAAAAATAAAAAAGAGAGACGGTGTTTTAAACCCAGCGGCTGGTTTTGTCCGTCAAAGGGTTAAAAGAACATTTAGTGAGAATGGTGATGAGATGTTTCACTTCTGGAGCAGCAGGAGGGTTGGTTAGACCTCACCTTCTTCCTCTCTCTCGTTCCTCAGGGTGAAGGATTATTCCTCGGACTGGTCGGACGATGAGAGTCCTAAGAAGGCTCTGGCTGTGAACGGCGTCGGGGAGGCCGAGGACGACGAGGAGCAGCAGGTAGAAGGAGTCCGAGTCCGAGCGCTGTATGATTACACAGGACAGGAGGCGGACGAGCTGAGCTTTAAAGCAGGTATTAACACTTTACTAACGCTGCTGTAGAGGAGAGGCATCACCGGGATGGCTGGTCACTTTTATGAACGTTTTTGTTCCATAAAATGTGCAAAAAAATTACATTTTGAGCTGCACCAAGGACGTGTGGAACAAAACCTACAGTCTTTGTGTGGTTAGTGTCTGATGTTGGACTTGTAGAAGCAGAAAGCGTCGATGTTTGGTCGTATTTTTAGGTCTCCTAGCTCAAAATCACAACTTAACTCCTGATTCAGCGCCTGTTTCAGCAGTGATATTAGGTTTTTTTGCCATTTTTTTTGTGTATTGCAAGTTTACAGCTTGTTTAGGAGCTTTTTGTCTCCACATGAATATCATTTAAATGTGAGTTTAGACGATCATAAACTGATATTTTTGTTCCTTTTGTCAGAAAATGTAGTGATAATAAAATAATGACCTACAATGAAGTAAAATATGTAAATAATCACAACTATATGGTAAATTCAGTTGCATTAAACAAAGTAAACACAGTGGCTATAACAGCATTTATCTCTTTCTCACTAATTACAAAACACAGAAACTAGCTTTGTACTGTCATATTTGTAGACATTTACGAATTAATGTCATGTTTTCAGAGACTGTCCAGTAAATTTACATCTGTAGTATTTTGGTTGCACATCATGTTTAGTTAATAAATGAAGTATCACAGGACATTTTTCCTGTAATAATGACAAAGACGTCTCAGTTTAAGGACTCAGTCATGTAACCCTGTTAGGTCGCTGTTTGTCTCAAGACACAGAATCACATGAAAACTATCATTTAAAAATAAGAATCACGTGAAAGTAGTTCATTAATAAGATCATGAGATCAGTTCAGAAGCAAAAATCACTCACAGCTACTTTTTAATCCATTGTCTGTGTGTGTATATATATATATATATATATATATTTAGTACATAAAATACAGTTCATACAAATAAACATTAAACATTTTTAGAAATATGAATGTTTATTTTATTTTTTTTAAAAAGTAGAAACATCACAGACTCTAAAGAAGAGATTCAGCCTGAAGGTGCTTCTTTAGTTTCAGGCTTTGTAGTGTCTGTAAACATTATGTAATGTGTGTACACGTTACATAATATTTTATTTCTTAAAAAAAGCAATTAGCTAAAAGATATTAATCAGTTAAATAAGAACATTCAATCTAAAACAAACCTTCATATCAACTTTGTAGCTGTTCTGTACAATTTTAAGAAACGACAGTTTTCTTGAACAGTAAACATCCAGAACACAAGAAGAAAAAGTGATTATTTCAGAAGGTAAATGATAAGTTTGTTTCCTTTTTCCCACCCGTGATGCCTCATCTAACACATTTACACACTCATGTCAAACTCTTGGTTTCAGACATGATCATTAAATGCAGCGAGACTGTGATGCAGGACATGACTTCCCTCAGACTGTCTGTCAGTTCAGCTCCTGTTGGTTCACCAATGTGACAATAATGAGTCCGTCTGAGTCACAGAATCATCTCAGCATTTGTTAAATCATTAAATAAATAAGTATTTGCTATATCATACGCCACATCATGATACGACGCACGGTGGGCATCGTGATGCTGCCACCTCCATGCTTCATGCTGGGACGGTGTGTTTGTAATGATGTGCAGTGTTTGTTTAAGTAAAGCTCAAAAGAAGCTCAGCAGCTTCAGGAGATTCATAAAACGGTCTGTGTTTGGCTCCACGAGGACAAAAGCAAATGTAACTTTTCTAAAAGAGAAGATTTGAACCATTCTGTAAAGTTAAACTGAATGTTTTGTGGTAAATAAAGCGAGCTGATTTATTCTGTGACTTTATGTTGGATCATTCTAAATGTTTCATCAGTACTTGATGTGCGACGGATGCGAAGCAACGTGACATCTTCTGTTTGGAAATAAAAGCATTTTAAGTACAACAACAACAAATAATAATAATAATTTAAATTCCAGATGATTAATGCTTTTATTTTGATGAAACTTTTCTTTTTGCTTTTGCAGTTTTTTCATGTAGTTAAAAATGAAAAACCAGGCTTCTTCTTCTTCTTTTTTTTTTTTTTAATTTAATCCTTAACCTGCTTCATTCAAGGAAACAGAGCATCCAGTGGTTTTATCTTCCTGATCACTGCATGTTGTGACATTATCAGCTCTGCTTTATGTGATTATCACTGAATAATCTGAGCTCACGTCGCAGGTAAGTCCAGTGAAGGCAGCTGCATGAAATGAAACAGGAATAAAAGAATCAAGGTGGATTAATGTCATTATTACACAGATTTGTTTTTCTTTGATCAGCTGATTGTGACATTAATATCACTCTGTATGTGCTGATGCTCAGAAGATGAGTATCATTTTTGTATTTAAAGGAAAAGAAAAACTAAATTCTGATGCACAAATGTGCTTTTAGTTTGTCTCTGATATTTGATTTGTGCTGGTATATTGGATCATTGGAACTTTGACTGAAACTAAACCAAGTTTTGAGGGAAAAACACTCTTTGGTGAAGCTGTTAATATCTCATAGACATGTGAAATATGAGTCTGATTACACCATGAAAATAAAATCTGTAACATAAGAAGCAAAAATGATCAGAAATAATAGATTTAAAAACAGTGAAATACTGTAAAATTTGAAGACTTTACTTTTTTTTTTTTTTTTGCAAACATCGTGTTCTAAACACTAAAAACAAATTTAAGGCAGAAAGTTCATCAACTTATTTGCTGAAGACTGTAAAAACTTGTCCGACTTTAAAGCCGATTAAATCAGTTTGACATCAGTTATTATCTGAAAGCATTTAATGGTTGCTTAGAAGTAGAAGTTGATTTAACTTAAGAGGAACTTTTAAATATAAATCTGGCAGATATCACGTGGAATTTATCTTCTCATTTGGTGACTGGTTTGATGATAAAGTTCTGTTCTGCTGGAAACAGAAAACTCTGCAGCTGACACTTAAACTCTGAGTCAAGAGGCTGAAACTCTCAGATCTTTGCTCTTTACAGGAACTCTGGTTGTTGTATTTTGTTTTAACACCACTGCATGGTCCAGCGTCGAGGTTCTAGCGTCGAGGTTTTAGCATCGGGACTCTGCAGGCGGTCGAGCTTCATGTGGGTCAGAACAGCAGAGTTAATAGAACCTGATGGAGGCACAGGGGGACGGAGCTCAGAGCTTAGCCCAGCTCAGCTCGGCTTAGCCTGAACCAGGACCAGATCCCTGATGGACTGAGACAGGTGGCCTCACTTGCTGCACTGTTTATTTTCTTCATCATGGCAGTGCTTCCTCTTTCACCTTTTATTAAATGAGGATGATGATGTGAGGCAGGTCGCTCCTGATGCAAATGCACCAACACGTCTTTATTTTAAAGCACAGAACTGATGGAGCTACACCTGAAGTCTGCACTAATTCAGAGTTTTAGGACCCCAAAAAATGTGACTTTTGGAAATGCTGCTGACCCTGATTTAGTAAACTAAAGGTTTTGGAAACAAACACACTGATGTTCACTGTCTGATAGGGTTTTATTGTTATTACATCACTATATCATGTCATGTGACCCATTCCTGGAAGAAAACTGAATTCAAGGCAGTTTGCTTTGTTTTATTGTTTCTAGCTGGTGAAAAGGTGTACAAGAGCCTTGAAGGTAATCGATAAAGTCTTACAATGGAATCGGCACGCTAAAAGTGGCATAATGTGCAAACTGGACGACCTTTTCTGTATTTAACTTGAAAAAGTCACAGTCGCTTTGACTTTAATTAAATGTGTGAAACTGGACTGACTCTGGTTCTCCTCCATCCAGGCGAGGAGCTGCTGAAGCTGGGGGAGGAGGACGAGCAGGGCTGGTGTAAAGGTCAGCTGGCCGGAGGTCAGGTCGGCCTTTATCCCGCCAACTACGTCCAGGTCGTGACCTCCTGATGCCCCGCCCCCTCTGCTCAGCCAGCCAATGGTAACTCTACACTCAAGATGCCAGGACCAATCAGAAGCTGTTAGCGCTGACACGTAGACGCAACCTCGGACACTTTTTGGTTACTGACTGAAAAGCTCGTCACTGAGTTTTTAATAATACTTTCTGTTGTTTGAGCTTTTTTGAAAACCAGCCGGAGCTGAAGTTCCCTTATTGTGAAAGGCCAACTGCAGTAGAAAAACATGGACGTGCATCCTGTCACGCCATCCGCCGACTTCTGACGTTTTATTGAACTCTGGATTTTTAGTTTTCTGCTCACTGCCATCGCTTTCTGTGCAAAGAGTCCGAAAAATCTACATTTAATGAAGAGGAGACGAAGCCTGGGTGGAGCTGAGGTGGAACAAGACACAATGAACGACTGGTCTGATTGGTCCAAACATGTCAACCAATCAGTTAATCATTTAAAACCTACTTTTTTTAAAGCAATAATTTGAAGTTTTGGGAAATTACCCACCAAGTTGGACAAGAAGATCAATACCACTCTCATATAAAACTAACACCAGCCGCTAGTAAGCTTAGCTTAGCATAAAGACAGAAAACAAGGGAAAACGGCTAGCTTACCAGTTACCCCAAAACACGTCACATCTGGTTTGTTTGGTTTGTGTTAAACCCAAAATGCAAAAATGACAAATTGTGGTTTTGCAGGACTTGTGGACGTGCTGTTAGACAGACAAGCTTTTTTCCACTTTTTACAGTCTTGGATGCTTATGCTAAGCTAAGCTAACCAACTGCGGGCAGTAATGTCATATGAGATATGGGAATGTGGTATTAATCTTAACATCTAACTTTTTGCGACACAGCAAATACGTACATTTCCCAAAACGTCAAACATATTGTTTTAGAAACATTTTCAATATTAAATAAATCACCTTGTTACATAAAGTCAGACTTCTTATGGGGCAAAATATCTTAATTTAAAAAGGAAAGTTGATGTTTTTTGTTTTCTCTGATGCAACATTTAGTTACCATCTTCTCCATTCAGCTGCGGTGGCTGCAGTTTGAATTGAAGACATAAAGAATAACCCAATGAAAGACTTAGTGCCTTAGTCCATGAGGCCAGAAATGTGCAGCGCCGCCCTGCTGGCTGGTTGAGGAATTACAGAACAGAAATGCGCAGTAGGGGCAGACGGAGCTGATTTATATTATTCGTAATCACGCTGACCGGTGACCAATATTTACAAGCAATATACATTTGGATTTAAAGTTAAAATACATGGTGTACAATTTTAGAATAAAATGTACATATGTTTTTGAAAAGACAACTTTTCGACACTTATCCCTCAGTGTTGAGGCTATTATTTGTGACTTATAACTAATTACATTCCTGAAGAGCACCAAGTTATGACTACAGATCATGAGGAGGCTGCATCACAGCCATAGTGACTTGTTTTTAAATTAATTTATTTCATTAGGAATCCGTAATAAAAAATCTTACTGGTAATTGGAAAGATTCAAAATATGACAATCGCTCAGGCAGATGATTGGTCGACCCCAATGTGCAGCAGCACCCTCTTGTCTGAACCAAAGTTATAGCGCCACCCTCCTGTCTGACCAAGGAATTGCAGCCTTGCAGTGTTCAGCAGCGCCACCCTGCTCTCCAACAGAAGAATTACAGCCCAAAAATGTGCAGCACTGACCAGCTGTTTGATGGAAGAGTACGAACATAAAATTCTTCACACTGTTATCTGATTGAGGAATTACAGGTGATTAATCTGGCGCCGCCCTGGTGCCTAACCAAGGAATTACAGCCTAAAATTGTTCGGCAGCACCTCCCTGCCGCTCGACAGAAGAGTTACAAACTAGAAATGTGCAGCAGTGCCCTGCTGTGTAACTGAGGAATCCAGCTGATAGATGTGGCGTCGCCCTAGTGGCCAACTGAGGAACTGCATCCCAGAAATTTGCATCACCACCCTGTTATCTGATTGAGGAATTACAGCTGATGAATATGGCGCCACCCTGCTTTCTGATTGAGGAAATACAGCTGATGAATATGGCGCCGCCCTGCTGTCTGGTTGAGGAACTCCAGTCATCTACTGAAACCTGTAGATCTTCTGTTAATCTACAGTCATTTCCACGGAGCAGGCAGCACCCGATTGGCTTCCTCGTCTCCTCCCTGTCGTTTAGCTCAACAACTGTGTGCTTTGGTTGTTCAGTAGATTTTTAGATTTGACACTGAATCCACCCTCTTCCCCTCTTTTTTTTTGATTTTTAAAATGTTATAGGTGTTTGTTTATATTAAGTCAACTGATTCTGAATATGAACAGTGTAAACTGTTGCTATCTGTTTCTTTAAATTTTTTTAAGATTAGCAGTTTTTACAGTGTCATCTTATTTACTTTCTAATTTATTTTCCTAATTTAGCAATCATTCTTCATTTGAACTAGACTGAGTGAAGCAGGGGGAGTGTAGGACTGACTGTTAGCTTTGGGTACCTCACCTTGTGGAAGGTGGTTTGTCGCCGTGCTGGGTTCAGACGCACAGGCATCTCAGTCCCCTAAAATAAGTCTCAATCTTTTTGTCTAAAGATGTCAGGTTTGGGGTTTTTCTTGTTTAAGTTTGTGGTTTGTTTTCGAGGGAGCCTCCTCTGCCCTGCTGATCGGGGCATCGCTACAGCTAACCCACGTAGAGGTTCAAATCATAACGAGAAATGTTAGAAAAATTAATGCTAACTGCACTGCTCCCTTTGATTCTTTGCTTTTCTTTCCAACATTGTAACATATACAGTTCATCAAGTGGGAAGCAACAATAAAGAGCTTTCTGCAGCTGGAAGTTTCTCAGATTTTCTTTTGTCCGTGTGTTGGTGTCATTCGACAATTTTTATTATTATTATATAGAAAATGCATTCAGACGACTGTTGTTGTGTAGTGCTGCAGAGAAGCACATTTCTATTCACAATATGTCAGAAAACAGTGGAAACAGAGTTAGCAGATGAAGTGAAGGCTTATATGAAGTTCTCTTGACCCATATTGTGAAGTATTTTTAACTTATTGTGTTGGTATTTCTACGTCAAGTATGTATAAAAACACATGAGGAAGACTGCAGCACCTTGATGGCAAGAATTTAGGAAAAATACTTTTTCATGTTAAAGTGGAAACGGGTTCCTACCAGGTAATGTCGATTGCTTAAAAATATAAAATGTTAAATAAGTGATTGCACAAGTATTCACTGTGTTCACGTCAGTATTCAGTTGATGCACTTTTGGCCACATTTGAAGCATTGAGCCTCTGTGGAACAATTGGACCTGCACATCTGGAGCATGTAATTTTATCCCACTCTTCGTTGTAAAACTGCTCGACCTCTGTCCGGCTGGCTGTTGGCTCAGTGTCTTGCTGGAAAACAAATCTTCCCCCCAAGTCGCAGTTTTCTTGCGGACTGCAACAAGTTGGCTTCCAGGATTTCCCTGTACTTGCTGCATTCAGTT